TGATATGCTGTGCTTCAGACACATCAAGCATTCTGTGTTTGAGATAAGAACCTGTTAAAAGCCCAAAGGGTACCTTGTCTCGCCCTGTTGGTTAATTCAAATGTGTTTTCTTAGAATTAGAGTTACTATGCAAGGCCAGGAAAAGACACATCTTTAAAGAGGCATAGACATATAAAATGCAGATAGCCAACCCCCTCAGCTTTGAATCCAAAATGCAGCACATCCCTACTTTTTATATGTGCAGTTTATTGTTAGCGATGCACAGATTATTTGTGAATCTGAATGCTTCTATTCATAAAACATGCTGGCAAGATCTCTGCTTTAAACTTTTATCTATATTCAGATTCTATATAGGGAAAACATATGCACTGAAATATGATCTATAAGGTATGTAGCCTTTCTCAGTCAAGCGGGAAAAGTAACAGTAAAAAAAATAATAATGTGGCTTTGCAGATACTGTTTTACTAATCTTTTTTTTTTTTGTCTGTTTTAGCCATTCTTCAATTTCAATGTTTCAGTTCTCATTTACTGCTGCCTGCTAATTTTTTTTTTGCTGTACTCCATTACTAACTACTCTAAAAGTGCAGTGAACATTATGTGAAATGTCATTTAGTTTATCATCTTCCAAGATAAGCATACTGTGGCCTATTATATTCTCTGTATTTCGGTGGTGTGTGTGTGTGTGTGTGTGTATGTGTATGTGTGCATGTGTGTATATGTGTGTGTGTGCATATATATATGTCTGTCTGTCTGTCTGTGCATATATACAGTAGGTGTGTGGGTGTATCCCCCACACAAGGCCTTTTAGGCCTTACATGTATTTAGGAATAGTTTAAATTATGCTTGGAAACATGTTGTTTATGAATACAGCCCTTGGAGGACACCTGCAGCATTTTCACAGATTCATTGTAAGCAGTTTATGAAAAGTCTTCAAAGCATATCTAACATACATTGCGGTATAACTCAAGCATGTGTCACTTAGATGGTCTGACTTTATCAGGAACTGATGCAGATGGCAACATTTGTTTAGCCTTGCTACACCTCTTTCTTAAGCTTCCAGGAACAAAAGTGAATCTAGGGGCAAACCTGGGTCATTATGAGGAATACTGAGCCATCTTAAATAGATTTAAATCATATTACTGAGCTCATGTGCTTTGTAGTTAGAAACACCTGTGACTTGCCTAGATTTAAATTTATAGTTACATGGTCTCATCCAGGCAATTCTGTTGAAAATGTTCTTAAGCAAACTCACATACGTGGGTTGCCAAGGACTCCTGGGCCACCCTCAACAGCAAGGGCTTCAGCATGAGGATGGAAGTCTCCCAGAACTACCCATCTTTGGACTCCAGGACCGTCATCATCTAGTCATCTTTGGATTCCTAATTGCAGTTAGCTGCACTAAGATGAGGGGGTGGAAGCTCCACCAGGAACATTATGTCTCCATTCAAAATTAGCCAAATATTTATTCCCATGTCACTCATAGTTATTATCTCTTCTGTAGAGATCTGTTTCTAGGTTTTTCCCCATTCCTAATTTAATATGGTTGCTATTGCTTCCATAATCTAACATTCCTTATACTTTAGTGAATGAGATCCTTTAAAGGCAGCATTTTTTCTCCCCTTTTTTGGACAGGACACTGTGCTTTCAGAAGTGTCAGTTCAGCAAGGCCAAGGACTAATGAACTGGCATCAGCAAAGATTAAACTGCAGTGAAGATATTCTGAAAACTGCAAACTCTTTTGTAGACTTAATATAACAAAGGCATTCAGGCAATTATAGGACTCTTGCTCTTGCCCCTTGCTGATATAAGTGAAAAGAAGGACATTATTTCCAAGCACAAGAGAGCCATTGGTTAATGTGCTCTGCAGCACTTTGCAAGCTGGTGTACCATAGTGATGAAGAGACTAAGCAAAAAATTATAAGCCTCTAGTTTGAGTCTTATCTCTACCATGAATTCAATAGGTGGCTATAAGCAATTTATTCTCCCTCAACCTTACTGCTCTACAAAAGCCACTTATTACTGTCTGTAGGTAAAAAGATATAAAAAGCAAAGATCTCCCCATATATACAAAACCTTCCTAATATATTAAAATTGCATTTTAAAAATCTTTGTGGGTATGTGTGTGTGAAAATCGTATGCCTAAATCAATGTAAGTATGGCAAAGAAATAAAAGTAAAGAATAACACCTTTTTTAAAATTTATTCTCAGAAATTTGTATCTTCTCAAGGACAAAAACTGAAGACAATGCATATGTTTAAATAAAATGTAATAATGTAATATAATTATATCATAATACCACTAGAATTTTACACTATCCTTATTCCAGCAGATGATCCCAACAGTAACATAAAGACCATTACAAGCCATAAGAAGTCACCCTAATTCTAATCCTCATGGTAATGTTTACCATGGATTAATCCCAACCATAACTCTAACTTCAACCTAACACCCATAAAAGCATTTAAATTAAATTTGCCCAACAACTCAGTCCTAAATATAATATCAACTTAATGATATTAACATCACAATTATTTTTAGTATAACTTGGAAATTTATCTCTAATCTTAAAAATGCTGTAGCTGTAGCAATCACTTCCCAAATGTAAGAAAAACAAAACAAAACATTAGACTATCACTAGCTATAAAAAATCAGAGTTATATTCAGTCTCACATTAAATTTTAGCATTGACCTCAAAAAAGTTGAATCCTAACCTTCTTTTCACCCTAATACCAATTAAAAATAGACACTAACACTAATCCAAATGTTTCCAAATCACAACAATTTCTTTGTCATGAGAAAGAAATGCCACGGTAGGAGTTCCATTTAATTAAGAGAGAAATACAACTGATCATTTTCTAACTTATCTATTAAACTATACTCAATACACATAGTGCACACACACACACACACATACAAGAATATCTCATACACATGGTATAAATACCTAACTCTTCTTGTTGTCGGCCAGACCAAGAGAGATTTGAGAGATCTGCAATGAAGAGCTCTCTCTTTCTTGATGGAGTGAAGGTGGATCTGTCCTGCCTTACAATTCATTCATTTTTATATTTTTCTGCCATCATTTCTTACCCAATTAGAACTGCCTGGCTTACTTTGTTCATTCCCATTTCTCAATCAGTATTGCACATATCTCTTATATATCATAGCACCCTTGGCTGGCTACATCAAAGTACTGCCCATATTCCTCTTTGTTTTATGCATATTACTGTCCCTGCTCTACCAGTTCAGATACTAAAGATATGTCATAATGATGAGTTCTACTTATCATTGTCATTTGAGAATTCTACTTCTGAATATTGAAGTACAAGTCCTTAACAGTATGGATTGGTACTTGGTACAAGTTGTTCCCCAGCTAATTTCAACAAGTCTGTTGCAACATGTTCCTTTGCTTTAGTTCTAATATTCCAGATCCATTACCCCCCTCTGGGATTCTTAGTTCTTAATAAAAACTATAATGGAAGGATACATAGCTATAGAATAGAGAGTACAAAAAGTAAAGGTATTAGATATAAAATAAATTATCTTATTGTAACATTGGTTAATATTTCTTGAAATGTATGCTAACTAATAGCATAATGGTTAGTATCAGAGTGAATTTTCAAGATCTTATTGTAGTTATGATTCACCAGTGAGGCAATGGTTAGTAAAGAATGTTGTGTAATGATTAAAATTTGGGTGAATTTTCATGGATGGTTGTTTGGTGATATTCCTATCATGGTTAAGATTTTATCCTGGGGCAGTGTAATTGTTATCACAATAGTCAGCTGAATGAGGCTAGGCTTCCTTGAACTCTAAACTACAAGTTAATGTGAGGATTAGAATCTAGAAGTTTTTTCGTGGATATTGATGGTGTTACATTCCTATTATCAGTAAATGCTTATGCTGTGCCAATCTCTAGTGTAAAATATATATCTACTGTATATCTATATATCCGCAATAGACTGAGGTTAACCTGAAGGATAGAATCTGTGCATATTTTCCAGGACTGTGGTTGTGTTAGATTACCATTTAGGATTGAATTCTCAGCAACAAGCAGACACATTATTTTTACGGTAGTTATAAGGTTAGGATTAGGTTTTTTTCAATGATAGGCTAAATTCTTTCAAGTATAGGCTGGGTAAGATTTTGTGGTAGGGCTATCATTATTGTGTATCTTTTTATCAGAAATAGGGTGAGATTAGGATTAAGATTCCTTGAAATGTAAACCCAAATTTAGTGGTATATTTAGAATCTAGGTGAGTGTTCATGGAAAGCGGTAGTGTTATAGGCCAATTATTGCTAAGAGTTTGTGATAGGGCAATTGTTTATGAACAGACTTTTTCAGAAATAGGATGAGGTTAGGAATATATTTTTATATTTTCCATCACCAATAAATAATATTTATATCATATTAATATAATGATTGGTAAAATAATTTATAACTATGATGAGATGAGAATACGTTATCTCAATGTAGGCCACAGTTAGAGTTGATTTTATAATCAATATTATAATTTAGCAGTTTCAAATCACTGTAGGTGTAGGAGCAATAAATGTGCATATAATGTCATAAGGCAGTGTTAGAACAAAAATGGTTACCTGTGCAGATGTTCCATAGACACAGTTAAAAAAATGTTAATTGCTGTACTGACCAATATGTGTGCTCTATCTGCATGTCAGAAGAAGGTATATATGTACCATGTTGTGGAGTATAAATCATTTTTAAGTTGCATGCAGATTAAATGGTGCTTTGTATTTGGCATATTCTGTTTAAGTCTGTTCTAATTCTGTAGTGTAACAAAATTCATAAGGGAGACTTATCTGAAAATAATTCATACTGTGCTAAAATTAAAAAAAAAGACTATTGATAAATTTGGGATTTAAAGGCAAAAAAAGTTATGTCATGTAGATCTACTGTGCTTACATCTGTCAACATTCTTGATCTGTTATGAAGCAGAAGGGGATTGCTTTCGAGTTTAATTAGATTATTTGGTACTTTGCAGGATCTCCAGGATGGCATTGGGAGTCAGCAAGCTGTTGTCAGAACTTTGAACATAGATGGAGACAAGATCATTGAACAATCATCAGCAACAGATGCCAGCATTTTAAAAGAAAAATTGGACAGCTTGAATTTCCGATGGAAGGAAGTCTGCAGGCAGCTGGCAGAGAGAAAAAAGAGGTAGGGTAATAACAGTTTTATTTTATTTCTGGTATTTCATAACGTATTCCAATAACAGTCACTGTGAAGGAGGTCTCACTTTATATGAAGCAGTGTATAGATGGATGACACAATGGTAAGCTGACAATTGAAAGTATTAAGAAGTGGCTTTAAGGCATGGCATTAATTAATTATATTAATTTTAGTTTAGGGGTTTTTGTTTGTTCGTTTTTAGTAGCACACACTCAGTTGACTCTTGTCTGTATTAGTTTTCTGGAAAAGAGAGACATTAGTCTCTCTTCCACAAGTAAAAGAGTCTAAAGTAAGCAGATACCAGTTTAAACAGACATTTCAGCAGACATTTAATACTTGAGTAAAGGTTCTCAACAGAATTTTTCACTTGCCAGTCAGCAAGGAATAACATGCAGTTGTACAATTGATGTATGACTAGATTAGAACTGAGAATATGGAACATGTCCTGATAAATTAAAAATTAAATTAAGGTAGTAAATGAAAATATTCCAAAGTACTCTGCAAATTTTTTAGTCCTTTTTTTTTTTTAATATCATGGGACTGGTACCATCTTTTCCAACTAAGATTTTTAATTAAAAGGCATAAGCTCATATGTGGGGATTTTTACTTTTGCTGCCCAAGTCCTTACCCCATATTTCCCCAGCTTATTCACTTACTGCCCATCAGTATTCTCTTATTCTGCTCACTTATATAGCATATTTGGTCATATATGGCTGGTTGTTTCAGGATTTCCCTAATTTGTAAGGTACTTCAAATTTATGCTGGAAATGTGGAAAACATGAAGGGTCATTTTATCATGCCTGGTAATATATATA